CATCCATCCAGCCATCCATCCATCCATCCATCCATCCATCCATTATTTTAACCTGCTTCTTCCTTTCAGGGTCACGGGGGTCAGTGGTGCCCATGTCCAGCAATCACTGTGCAAGAGGCGGGGAACACCCTGGACAGGTCTACAGTCCATCACAGAGACACATAGAGACAAACGCGACAAAAAAAAAAAAAACATTCATTCTCTCACTCACACCTAGGGACAATTTAGAGTTACCAATCAGCCTAACATGCATGTTATGGCCTGTGGGAAGAAACCAGAGCACCTGGAGAAAACCCACGCATGCACGGAGAGAACATGCAAACCCCACCCAAAAAGGCCCCCAGACTGGGATTTGAGCCAGCAGCCTTCTCGCTGAGAGGCAGCAGCTCTACCAGTTGTGCCACTCTGCTGCCCATGCACTTTTCAATAAACCAAATATGTATTGACTGATAATTGTAGGTGGAACAATTTCAAATGTGCAATATATATATATATATATTGTTTTTGTTTGCACAGATTTAACTTTTTTTTTTTTTTTATGAATAGCATATTCCTAAATAGAAAAGTGAAAAGTTAACTGGCCATTTTTAAATTAATTTTATTATTAAAAATAAGTATAAAAATATAAATATAAAACAATGTGACTTAGCATTTGAATAACATGAAAGCAGTGTATGATGGTTTCCTACAACTTACACTTTCCGGTATACATATTACACCTATATCAAGAAATGAATTCACAGTTTGACAAATAAACTGCACCAACCATTCACATGAACATTGCTTGTCAAACAGATATCAAATAGTATATGATGTCTATCATTAAAAACACTCTGTACAATTACAGTATTTAATGGAGTTGGTTGTAAAAGCCACTGTACTCCTTCCCTTTCCCACCCGAACCAAGCCAGTACCACTGAACACTGATAGTATACAATATTACTATCTTTCAAGTTATTACAAAACACATTATTCACACTATTGTTCACAAAAATCCTAAAATTTAAAGGCATCTTTAATGATTATGACCAAAAAACAGTGAAAACGTTAAGATTTAAATGTGTCTCCATTGTTAGGAAAATTCAGTTCCGTTCAAGTCTTCCTTTTCAGCATCCATTTGAATAAACAGATTGTTGTGAGGGCACGTGCTTGTGCATGTATGTGGGTCAAAAAGACAACCAGTTACCAGCAGTTTAGCTAGTAAATTAGACAAACAGATAGCTTGATAGAGAGACAGACAGTCAGCTAGCTGGCCAGTCAACTAACTAGACAATAAAACTGTCTGGCTAAATAAACAGACACTAAAAATGATTTTGGCAAAAGAGAGACGGATGGCTTTGTCTAGGTCTCTCTATCAGGACTCCTCCCTATGTACATCTCTGCCAACTTTTTAAAGTGTGGTCCCCAGTTGCTGAGATAATCATATTCCTGGTCCCCTTCAGTAGCAGCAGACTCCAGTGAACTAAGAGATTCTGCCAACGAACCGCTGCCCTCATACGCATATGTTGCCAGGGAGTCATAAGGTGGTGCTGTTGGGTCTGAGTCGTTGTCCTGAAGCCTCCCATTTATGAAGTCTCTCACATCTGTGTTATCCTTTATCGGTGATGTCCTTCGAAAGGGAAACAGCATTTCGGGTATGATGTCCCTGCGAAGCTTGTTAGCATCCATCACCTCCGGGTTGCGCAGCGTGCCTATATCAAAGGCCTGGGTGTCCTCCTCTCCTCCCCCTTCATCGTTGTAGCTTACAACATTGTCTCTGACATCCTCTTTGGAGATGATCAGAGGTTCCTTCTTCCTCTGTCTCCTCAGGGCAGCGAACAGCACCACGATCACTGCACAAAAAACAGTGGGGGGAAGCAAAGAGGGAGAGTGCAGCATAAGACGTGTGTCTGCTAACATGTGTCATGCATTAAGAAAGGGGAGCAAAAAGGCAGAAGGGGGAGACACATTTGCTACCAGTGACAAATCCCTAACTCTGCCTCAGGGGTTCACCTCATATTATTAAAGATTCAGTGAAAAAGCTTTTTCTAGCCTTTTTCTCCTGAATGGCACATTCACTTTATAAAATGTACAGTGGTTGGAGGATCCCATTTTATACTCTTCAACAAGCATCTTCATATTTCATCTCAGGGGTAAAAGACCTGAGATTGCAGAGTGAGCACGTTCTTCGATGCGGTTGCACAATTTTTAATAAATGGATGATTCTTTAAGAGAAAATGTTCTTTTGTTTACCTTAGCACAAAACTTTCACCTGCACTACTTTCAATTCTGCTTTCTTTCCTTGTCCTCACAACACGTAGAGTTGCTCTGTGTTTGCCTTCAACTGAGTGTTAATTGATACGTCTTCAGCAAGGGTTGGATGGGTTTGAGAATGACTGTTCTTTATGAGCATGTGTGTCTGGCGCTTTAGATATTATGAACGCCTGGAAGGAATAAAGTCTAGCCATTCTAACTGAATGTGTTTTATGTTGGAGTCAAAAGGAGGTCAAAAGATGCAAAATGTCAGATAATGAGCAAATGTTCTGATATTTTGTTATAGAGAAGAGCATCACATTCAGCACACTCTATATGCCCATGGAGATATGCCCAGAACCAGACACAGATCTGGAAATTTGGATTTAAAGGCAAGCAGATGGAAGAAAAGCTGCTCTTTCCTGGACTACTTTGCAATTTCAGAAAATTTGATATGTTCCAAAAAACACCAAACTCCAAAACAATATGGTAGCAGAAAAACATAAAGTTGGTTAAACACATGGAAATAAGGCTTAGGGTTAAATGAATGAACACACAAATATGCTAATGTTGAATAGGACTTATATTTTAAATATACAATACTTTTTTTGTTGTTCAGTCTTTGGCAGGAACTTTACATGTACATTATAAGATACTCCATACCATTGGTGATGGATGAAATGGTAAATGGTAATGGTAAGATACTCGTGTCATACCAGTTATTTTTCTACAATACTACATAACTTACATTTCAGTTTTTCTAACAAATTATTATGCTAGATAGTTAAGCTATGCTAGTAACAGAGACCTAAAACAATGTGAACCAGTCATTTTAGGTTGGTAAACTGTCATTGAAGCAACTAATTACTGGTTGCTGGGTAATTATCTTGTCATTATCTTTCTGCACTCGCTCTTGTGCGAAGCGGACGCCGCCTCTTCCTCGCACGTTCTCCTTCTGCTTTTATTCTGCTCTCTGTCTGTGTATCAGAGCTCCTGTTGCACATCTTCCGAAACTAAAACTACTGTATGGATCTGGTCAGCTGGACTTTCAATGCAATCAACAAAATATTTTGAACAGAGAGACAGGGTCGTGGAGAGCCCTCATTCCCCTTTGTGACTCATGTGGCAGGATACGTCATGGATTGGGAGCTGATGTGTCTTTCCGTTCTGTCTCGGGAGGACACCGAAGACCTATATAATTGGATTTATGATAGCAGGGTTTCTGCTGTCTGGCATTGGTGGATTCCTGTTATTGGCTATTAAGGAAGACGACAGCATTACTTTTGGCAATGGCAAAACTGTCAAGTCTGTGTGAAGGTTTGGTTTATGCTTTGAATACTCAAAATCAGCTGATTTACAAGTTAAACCGTAGGATGGAAGCAATTTGTGAGAATTGCAGGCCACCTGCGGCTTCTGGGACTCGCCAGCATGTTGGAGACAAACTTGGATTGGATTGTACTGTATACCTGGATTATTGAGCATGGACTTTGATGTTTATGCATTTGTATATAACAAGCATCAACAAAATGGTCCATATAAAACAACTTAAAGGCAACTTGACTGTTCTTTAATGACATCACTGTGAGAGACAATCTTTCCCTACAGAGCATGTCATGCAGTGACATAAAAAAAAAGTGTTATGAACACATCTCTAATGTCAAAGTCCATAGTCATTAATCCAGGTATAAATCCAACAATGTCCGGTCAGGTCATCTGGACGGTTTATTTTGTTGCTGAGACATTTCATCCTTCAAGCACTTAGGTACCAGTTTCTGTTTTAAATGTGCTCTATAAATAAATCTGACTTGACTTGACTTCATCCGAAGGACTTCTTCAGTCTGAGGAGGCCACCAAACCAAACTGAATCTCACAAACAGCTTACTCTCAGAGTGTAAAAAATCAGTTTGCTGGTGATAAGATGGTCTCTGGGGCCTGTCCTCTCCCCCGTCAACTCCTCTAAGGTAGACCATGCCATAGTGGTTCAAAACACCAAAGTTCATGCCCATTAATCCAGGTATAAATTCTGGTCAGCTTTAGAGGAGGTGATAGGGGACAGGGTAGCCACCAGAAACCATCTTATCACCACAAACTTTTTTTTTTTTCCCCACTCTGGAAGTGAGCAGTTTGGGGATTCAGTTTGGTTTGGTGGACTCTTCAGACTGAAGAAGTCCATTGGATGAAGGACGAAACGTCTCAGCAACAACAAAAACCATCCAGATGACCTGACTGAACGTTGTTGGACATCTCTAATGTATTGGCTTATTGCTCCTATATTTTAGGACACAATATTTAAAATAGGCATGTCCTGTGTTAGTGTTTTTATTTTTTTATTTGTTTGTTTTTTGTTATGTTCACCAATGCAACACTCATTAAACAAAGTATTTGAAACTCTATGTGTCATTTGTTAAAAAGTATGGCACAAATTATTTATTTTTTGTCTTGTAGGACTGAAGTTTAATATGCTATGACTGATTTCCCCCTTGTTCAGTTAAACTTTTTATATATATATATATTATTTTTTTATTTATTTTTTTCTAGTACACATCATGTGAATAGTGACAGATTGCCACAATGTAGCTCAATATAGTCATAAGTTTTGTGTTTGTTAAGAATTCGCAAAGCACGTTTGTGCAAACTCTTTGTTTGTAATGACCAGATAGGTGTACAACTCAGAAGGTTAATACAGTTTGAAGATGTCAGCAGATATATAAAAACAAATAAAACTCATTATTAACTGTTTTAGCGTGAGTAAAAGCTCTGAAGAGCTAAAGTGAGCTCCTTGCTGAACATGTTTAATAGCAGATAAAGCCACAAACCACTACTCTGAACACAAAGGTAAAGTTTTCTGACAACTTTACAGTGTCTGCACGTCGTCAACAAAAGTTCCCAGAGGGGAAAAAATAAATAATGAATTGCATTGTATTCTGTCATTGTATTGTTTTTTTTTCCTCAGCTTTTTATTGATGATTTGTTGAATAGCCTTCACTTGTGACGCACTCAAGTCTTTCATTATCATTACTGTGATATGTTGCAGTTTAAGAGTGACATCTCTTTGTATCAATGTGCTAATGCACTTAGGATTATTCATTGAATTAATAAACTGCTGGCAGAGTGGTAGAAAGGCATCTTTTCAGTAATATTTTACTAAGTTCAGATGGTTGGCAGCTTTTATTCAGCTTACTGTTTGCAGTGATAAGATTTGGTGTGGCAGACTGTAAAGAAGGGTCACTTCTTTAAAACATCATATGTGCTGTTATTGTTATTCAGTTTGTATTCTCTCTCACACAATACTTCATAACTATGATCATATTATTTAGTAATAATACTAAAGAACAGCACATACTGAGCAAGTTCCTGTGTGAAACAATGAGTGGATAGATAACCAGAGATGTGCCACTGGTTTGTCTTCCACACAGAAATCTCCATGTCAAGGTACTGCAACATATCGGTGGATTTTAAGAATTCATCTTTAAAATCTTTCTCTAACATCTGAAATGTTAATATTTACCTTTGAAATTAAATGTACTTTCTGTTCTTAACTGATTTATATTGTATACTGAATGTATCCAAAGCATGACAACATGAACAAGATATATGATTATTTTACCAAACTGGAAAAAAATATATAAATACTAAAATTGTTGCTAACTGCCACCAAGGCAATAGAAGCTATATTGTGTAATTGTCAGTTAAAAAATGACAAACTGATTTTCAAATATTTTATTTTGAATGCAGCATTTATTTATCTTTTTTTTTAATGCAATATCAATCAATCTGTTATGGAGGTTGTAATGAAATAAGGAGACAAATGTTAAACGCACAAATCAATCAAGTGTGCTATTATGTCTGATGCCATTGCGAAATATGATGCTGCCTTGTGTCTACTGTTCAGATAAATAATGTTACTACAGCAATCCCTCGTTTATTGCGGGGGTTCAGTTCCCAGCCCTACCTCCGTGATAAGTGAAAAAAACGTGAAGCAAGGAAAGTAGTACAAGGAGTAGTAGTAGTAAGTAGCAGTGGCGGCTCGTGGACTTTCCACCAGGGGGCGCTATAACTCCAAAATTGTGCGTGTATAAGTTCCCGTTTAGACAGGGGTTTGTTGCACGTGTATTGTACAGCAGGTCCATCAATGAGAAGAATGGTCAGGAGCCGCTGCGATGATTCTGACCAGTGCACGTTTTGTTTTTACGCAGATTAAACATCATTCAGTTCAACACTCGTCTTCTGGTCATTAAAAACAACACAGAGTGAACTATAAGAAAAATAAAAACAAACTGACAGGTTGATATTATTTGGACCGAGCTGAGTTCGTATCCGGCCAAGTTCAGCACGTTACACAGCACGGTTTTCTCTTTGATGGATTTGAATATCCTCATCTGTTCAGCCCCAACCTCTTCACCTCCAGTTTTTCCTCAATAGACATTAAGGAAAAGGGATTATTGATTAAATAATCCACCTTGTTTATGCTAATATTGCTTGCCATTGCGTCTACTCAGTCTACGCCAAACCACGCCCACATACACTTGCGCTGAGGCACGTAATTGTACATCTAGCCTCATTGGATGAATCCTGTGGCTGTGGGTGGACCCTGGGCTGAACAAAATTAGCCCCAATGAGCTGAAAACAGAGGGGGCGTGGCCAGACATCTGTCAGTCATTCTGAACCATGACGGAACAGTAACAGAAAGGGGCTGTCAGAATTTAGCCCTTTGGAACGACCCTGGGATTTTCCCCAGGCGGTTTGACACCAGTTTTGTTGTAAATATAACAAAATGTGACATTATTTCTAAAATGTATTTATTTTTAAGTTGTTATTTTTAAGTTGTTTATTTTAACATTTTTATTGTAAATGCCAGGAGGGAGGGCTTAGCCCTCTTAGCACATTGATACAAGCCGTGACTGGTAAGTAGTAGTTTATTTTAGTACATATACATATATACATATATACATACACACACACACACATACACACATATATATATATATATATATATATATATATATATATATATATATATATGGGCATTTTAAACCCTTCCCACATTTTTGCGATATTCTAAACACTGTTTCTAAATTATATGCTCTAAAAGAGCCCAGCATGTCATGACCTCTGCTCTCTGCCAGCGCTCTCTGCCATGCCCACTTCTCCGGTGTAATTGCTGGCAGAGAGCAGAGATCCTGCATGCTGCAGGAGGGAGTTTCTCCATGCTCCTGTGGGCTGCACACAGGTGCAGCAGGTGCTAAAGTAATTTATAATAATTGTATTTTAAATAAATAATCCATGCCGCTCATGGGGCTCTTCCCTCAGTCAGCCAATTGTGCGTCATGTCCAATCTTACTTTGAAAAACCGCGAAATATCGACTCTGTGAAAGTCGAACAGCAAAGTAGTGAGGACTATTTTAATTTAATTTTTATTTATGTAAATGTATTTTAACTTTTGTTGTGATTTGTGCTATATACAGTAAATAAACTAAATTGAATTGCTTCTTTGTTATGTCTGTGAACAGACTTTCTTCTGTCCTTTGCGATCAGATCAGTGCCCTCTATTGACAAGAAGCAATAACCGCAACAGATAATAAAATAAATGATTTGCTCAGACACATATTTGTTTTAAAGAATATTAAAATGTAAAATAAATGCCTACATTGCCCCAACATGTGTCACCGTGGCACATTCCTACAAGTTTATGGTGATATTTTTAAAACATTTTTTAATTTTATTTTATAAATGTTATTTCTATAGTTCATTGCTGTATCCTGCAGTGTCACTTGTCAAACATTCTAAAGTTTTCCAACCACCAGTGCAACAATGAATGGCAACATATGAAACTGTCCAACTTAAAAGCTAGAAAACAATAACAACGTGTTCAACATTTAAAGCTACATCAAAATATATTGGAAATCATTTGGTGAACTAGAGGCTAAAATTTTGTTTTTTAACTTTAGAGTCTTAAAATAATTTGATAACGCTTGCTTTGTTTTTGCTGGACTGTCTAAACCTTTGTAAACATTTTTACAACTATTAAACGATCTTAATGCCTTGTACTATTGTATTTTAAAGTTCAAAACATTTAAAACCACAAAAGCAATATATTTTATAAGACTATAGTAAATATATTGGCTTTGTTGTTTTATATGTTTGGAACTTTAAAATGAAAGTTGTTGCTGTAAGGTGATGTCACATCTGTTGATAAACAAAATAGACACGAACAGAATGACATCATGGTTCAAACTGACACAGTTATATAGAAGTCCATGCACTTGGTCTCATGTGAGGGTACTTACTGAGCAGAATAATGACACAGAGAAGTATGGCCACAAGAGCTCCAGTTGTGAGACCATCTGAAAAGGGCAGGACCTCAGGATTGCATGACTGCATGTTTCCACGACTGTCACAAGCACACACGCGCACGATCAATGTACTGGTACTGCTCTGAATGGGGTAATCGTTGTCAGAGATCACGACAGGGAGGAAGTACATGCTCATCTCCCGCCGGCTGAATCCCCCCCTTCTCGTCAGGATGTTGGCAGTGTTGTCTGTGGAAAGATGCACATGGACAAAGCTTGTTGGCTAAATGATTTCACATGAGAAAACCATCATCTTTACTTCTTCTCCTCTTTCCACTGTGACAGGTGCCATAAAGGCAAAAAAATGAAAATGAAACTGGCATGTTAATTGCCAATGGTTTGGCCACAGTAACCCAGATTAAACCTGCTTAGGCCCTATTTACACGGACACGATGAGGGGAATTGTAGTTTTTTTCGTATGTTAATTAGAGGAAAAGATTTGCATTGACATGGACGGATTTGGGTTTATGTGCATGCGGAGGATTCCCCCCCGCCCTCCCGAATCTGCTGTAGTTACCATGCCAGGTCATTAGATGGCGCTGTGAATTTTGTA